TAACTGGGTCGCCACGAGAGCCGTGCATGTGCTCGCGCAACTCTTTGCCGACTTCCTCTGGCACTTTTTTCAATTTTTTGGTAATTTCAACCTTGAATTTTTGGACGATTGACTTTACCTATGCGACTTGTAGAGACCATGGAATATGTGGTGGTATTCCAGATGCCACCAGTCCAGATATCTTGTTCTTAAGGACACCTGAGAGGACGTGGGTGGTGAGTGACGGGATCGTGCCGCTCGTCCACACATGCGACAAAAACAGTGGATGGTCGACTGCAAGCGTAGCCTTGAGCCATTTGCAGTGGTACACGAGCGACGCCAAGAGGAATGGAATGACCGATCGAAATGTGGCAGGATAGAACGTTGTAAATCCAGGCATCCCACTGGACCGTCGACAATGCAGCACCATGGAAATGGGGTGGAAGGGCGGCAAAGGAGGTGTCGTTAACATTGAGCCCTACCAAGAAAATATTTATCTGCATTCTCTTCGAGAATTACCTGACGCTGCTCGTCCTACGAATTGATCTCCACCGGCGCCTTGGTAAATATACCGGCCCTGCACACTGCCTAAACTCCAACCGGCACGCAACCAAATCGACATCGCCTGTGGACCGCCGGGGCAATTTGCTAGCTCGGATGCCACGCCTTTTCGGAATGAATGACTCCCGATTTCTGCGATTGAGAGACCTAACGCCAGCATTTCGTCGCGGCAGAGCACACACGTCTTCGCCAGCCACACCGAAAATCGCTCTTTGAAATTCGCCCCGAACAAAAGTATTGAACTGGTCCCTGCACTTCGCGGAGGTTATGTGAACAGGTAAATTGCTAAACTACATGCAACGTCACAATTTACTCTAAGTGCATTCTCAAAGAGAATTACCTCAATATCGGACAGATTTCAGGGCATGTTGGGTTGGCGTACACACGACGTGGGTAGCACATCTCACCAGTTTGGTCGTTTTTTGCCAGTCCAAACTCAATAATGAGCGCATCACCTGAGGAACACAGTGCAGTTAAGTCAAACTGCTAATTACAAT